ACTAATACCATCAACATACTCACCATTCAAATTATTGCGATTAGAAAGATCAGCATTAACTGCATCAGGTGTATAATATTGATATCCAGTTACTCTACCACACACCTGAGAATAACTGATACCATTAGATGGGAACTGAACTGATACACAGCTACCACTGCTTGTTACTGGTCTACCACAAGCTCTAACTCCTCCTGACTGGTACAGTCTAAACCCAGAAGGACAATTCACTGTAGCATCAGTCATATCCAGGTATGCTAGTCTTGTCCATCCTACTCCTGAACCACACAATTCCTCCATATTACAATAAGTATTGGTAGTTCCATTAGAAGTTGCCAGTAGATACATACCAGAAGGACTTTTTGGTTGCTTGTTCTTAACCTCCTGACAAGAGGTAGGAAGAGGAGGAGAGTCGGAAGAAGTTTCATTGTGTAGCATCAGAAAGTCTTCCACTAGTAGCAGTATATCATTGATAGCTCCAGCATTAGAGGCAGTGGTGTTCTTCATAAGAGAGTCCTTATGATACCATCAATAGCCTGAGCATTGCTCTTTGTAGTGTTAAGCAGCTCCTGAAGGAGTGTATCATTGTGACTGTCATCATTGGAACATGAAGCAGAGCAAGTAGCATAATTATGACAATGGATAAGTTGAGGGAGACAAACACTGACCAAAAGAAAAACAACATATTTTAGTGGTTTGTTGATCAGTTGTGTAATGTGCTTATTTATAAACTTGAGAAGAGCCTGACTGATGATGTCAAAATAGGTTGTTTGAAGCACAAGAATTCAAATATGTCCATATCTGCACACCTGTAAGGTTACTTATGTGTAGTTGTGTACAAAAAATGCAAGAAACGTACTCTAGTACAAGCCACTCCTTGATTATCAAAACAAGCATTAGTTATGCAACATGCAACTGATGGGTATGATAGATCTATTCATAGACCACATCAACAAAAACATTACTTTCAAACAACAATTATTTATCATTTGTGTAAAGCAAATTTTTCCTACAAACATTTAATGATCTCATGCATGAGTTCTTTTGAAATGATGGACAAGTTACTAGTAATTACACAAGACTGATCTAAAAAACAAAAGTAACACAGAAAACTAAACTGTTCTACTGAACATAAATTTCATAATAGCTGACAGGAACATCTTCATTATCAGTTCCCTCATCTCCACACACCCTCAACTCAATATAGTCAGTAGTGGTAGTGTTACCATAGTCTCTGTGAAACCATGGGATACCAGGAACATTACAACAAGGTGATTCGTGAGAATTACAACCTTGACCATCCCAGAGTGGATCAGATGTAAACAATTGCTGTTGAAATGTACTAGCTGCTGATTCACAGAAATAATGATCACCAACAAATGATTGAATTTGTGAAAGATAACCAGAAGTACAAGGACAGGAATGGTCAACTGAAGTAGTACTTTCAAAATTGGCAGCCATTAGTGTCCAGACATGTTGACGAGGAGACCCACGAGTGATACTCACACCATCAACATACTCACCATTCAAATTATTGTGATTAGAACCCAGAACATGATCAACAGCATCAGGTGTATAATACTGATATCCAGTTACTCTACCGCAAACATGAGAATAACCGATACCATTAGATGGGAACTCAACTGATACACAGCCACCACTGCTTGTTACTGGTCTACCACAAGCTCTAACTCCTCCTGGCTGGTACAGTCTAAACCCAGAAGGACAGTTCACTGTAGAGTCAGTCATATCCAGATATGCTAGTCTTGTCCATCCTCCTCCTAAACCACACAACTCCTCCATATTACAATAAGTATTAATAGTTCCATTAGCAGTTGCCAGTAGATACATACCAGAAGGACTGCTTGGTTGCTTGTTCTTAACCTCCTGACAAGAGGTAGGAAGAGGAGGAGAGCCAGGACTAGTTTCATTGTGTAGCATCAGAAAGTCTTCCACTAGCAGCAGTATATCGTTGATAGCTCCAGCATTAGAGGTAGTGGTGTTCTTAATGATAGAAAGAGATCTAATGATACCATCAATTGCTTCCTTTGTTTCTTTGATAGCTTGTTCATTACTTCTTGTAGCATTAAGCAGTTCCAAAAGTAGTGCAGTATCATTGTGATTAGCTCCAGAGACAAGAGTAGTATCAGTATCACTGCATGTACTACATGATGCAGTACAGACACTGTTATTAGCATCAAAGGTAAGAGCAAGATTACTGCATTGGATAAACTGAAGGAGACAAGCAATGACCACAAGAGCAGACAGCATCTTCTAACTTAAAGTTCTAGTTTTAAGTCTATTGAATGTCCTTTTATAAAATTTATAAAAGCCTGACTGATGACGTCAAAAATAAGTTGTTTGGAGTTACTGATTAGTACAAAAAATGTAAAGAACGTACTCTGGTACAAGCCACTCCTTGATTATCAAAACAAAACATACACTAGTCACGCAACATGCAACTGATGTATCTATTCCTGATAATTTATATACTAGACCCAAACTATGCATCCTAATATCATTTTCATGGTGTATGCATAGTCTATATTTTTTGTTCATGGATTGTCTAGCCAGTAGTCACATATACAGCACTGATGTATGTCCTGACTTTCTTATATGTTATGATCATTTGCATGGCATCCTACACTGTTTCCAGTAGATTAGCATTGCTGCTTGCTTGTGGCATCAATAAAAGCATTACAATATTTGAATTATCAATGCCTTATTTCTCATCATCATTGTGCACAGGGTTTCACACAGGATTTCAGCATAGTGCTAATGCAGTTTCTTGTCAGTGGATTGTTGATTTGACAAAATCTATGAGGGGAGAATTCTACCCATTTATAACTTTTTTTGATGCCTATAGATGTCCTAACTAATTCAAATCAAATTTGAATTTTTATGAATTTTAAAGCTGCTCAAAATTAGGTCAACAATCAAACAATTTTTGTCAAAAATTGGTAAAAAATAATTTATAAGTTTTATAATTTTTTCATACACATACATGTCTTTATGTTGTGTATCAACTTTGAATTGATTTTGACTAGTTTTGGGTTTTTATGAATTTTTAAAGTTGCTCAAAAATTGGAAAACAACCAAAGGCTATATATAGCCTTTGGCTGCTGGCCAAATTTGACTAGGAGAGAATTCTTAATTTTACAGTTTTTTCTGATACATTTAGCTAATTTTGATCAAAATTGAGTTTTTTTAATTTTAAAAGTTACTCCAAATGCTATACATTAACTTGTCAGCTCATCAAGCATGCCCACTAAGTATGCTTTGTAGGAAACACTGATTCTTTGTTTACAGTGTACATGTAGCCTTTGTTATACATACATACAATCGGAATAAAGCTGCACTTCTGGTACATGTACACATGTAAGTACCTGAATTAATGGAGTTCTTAATGGACTACTGATCTCAGTTCCACATTAGCTTGTATTTCATTATATTTTTCAGTAAGTGAATAAAAAAACTTGAAGGTTCCACCTTGTGGGGTCTACAGCATATAAATGTACCATTGGTTATCTTACCTAGTAATAATAATAGTATAAATTGATACATTTTTGGGGAAAATTATTCTATGAATATGTATATCACCTTTCATGAAAAATACTTCATGTTTTCTTTACTGATCATTAATAAAAAATTGTTACGAAAAATTTTTTTGAATATTTTTAAATTGCAAAATTAGCAAAATTAAACCACAAGAAATATAACCACTAGATGTATCAAAAAATGTTATAAAAATTTGGGTTGACTTTGGAGCCATTTTTCAAGAAAAACCATAGGCTATAGCCTTGGGTGATTTTCAAAAATTGGCCATTTAAAAAATAGCCATAACTTTAAAAATTGAAGTCGGAATTGATTTAAACTTTCTACACAGCATAAAAACATCAATATGCAACAGAAAATGTAATAAAAATTTGGGGTGATTTTGGAGCCATTTTTCAGGAAAAACCATAGGCTATAGTATTTTTCAAAAATTGGCTGATTTTAAAAAGTAGCCATAACTTTAAAAATTGAAGTCGGAATTGATTCAAACTTCCTACACAGCATAAGAACATCAATATGTATCAGAAAATGTAATAAAATTGGGGGTGAGTTTGGAGCCATTTTTCAAGAAAAACCATAGGCTATAGCCTTGGGTATTTTTCAAAAATTGGCCATTTAAAAAAATAGCCATAACTTTAAAAATTGAAGTTGGGATTGACTCAAACTTTCTACACAGCATAAGGACATCAATATGTATCAGAAAATGTAATAAAAATTGGGGGTGATTTCGGAACCATTTTTCAGAAAAAACCATGGGCTCTTTGGGTAATTTTCGAAAATTGGCCATTTTAAAAAATAACCATAGCTTTAAAAATTGAAGTTGGATTCAGCTTAAACTTTCTACACAGCATAAAGGCATCAATATGTATCAGAAAATGTCAAAAATTTGGGAATCTATACAATAATAATTGATAAACAATGCACAATATTTTGTCTATATTATAGTAATAATAATAATGATGACAATAATAATGATAATGATAATGATAATAATAATAGTAATAATCACAATTATGAATAAAATGACAACTTACCATTCGCACATCATGTCAGCTATACTTGGCTCCAATTCCTGCTTGAAAATGTTAAGCATCTGACCTCCTCTCCAGATGTTGTTTTACAAATTACAAATACAACTGAAATTAAATTACATTATAGTAAGGAAACCTTTTAATTATAGACAACAATTGCTACTCAAGATCTATTAGAATCTAATAGACCTTGAGTAGAAATTATTGTTTAAAAACATTTCCTTACTATAATCCAATTTCAGTTGTAAATTGTAAATAACATCTGGTTGTGCAACATGTTGCATGAAGTTGAGACTCTCTCTATTTCATGCAACATGTTGCCCAACCACATCAAAGGTTTGACCACAAGTTGCAAGCAACAATGCTGCATAATGGATGCCCACCTTTAGATGCTTAACATTCTAAAGCAGGAGGTGGAGCCAAGTATAGCTATTTATATAAACAAGATAAGCTCGAAGAAAGATAACTCTTAGAATGCTTACTGGAAACAAATGTCTTAAACTGCTGCAGTAGAGTGACTAATACTTTACAGAAAAGCTGGTAAGTACGTAGAATAGCCTATGATCATGCAGACAGCTCCACAATGAAACAGAGCAGCCTTAGAACTGCTGTGTACACAAGGCCTTCCATTTACCTATTCAATCCCTTCTACAGCAAATATCACTTAGTCTAAGATGTACATGTGGATAGCCTGGGTATTCCTTATCATTACTAATGAGATACTGTTCTCTGATGGCTCTGCTAAACTGCCATGTAATGAAGAGCTCACAAGTATGGCATGACACAGACACACATTCTCTAATTGATATCTTGTTTCTCAATGACACTTTTTTTAGAGAGTGAATTTGGCTGGGGTCGTGCAAGCTTATCGTGCAGCGAAGACAGTGCAACCCTGTATTGGCACATACCAATGAATAGCAACTTTCGGTACTTTCAAGTTCAATTCCAGTGCTACAATTCCACCTATGATCCAGTAAGAAAAGCACGCATCCTAAAGCTGTTATTCTGTTGCAAATACTATTGTAGCTTTGAGCTTACTAAAAATTTTGTGCACATAAGCTAGCCTCTTGCATGAAAATTTTGTGTGGGATAAAGTAAAATAATACATCTCTCCATTGTGGCTTCACATTACTTAGAAACACTCCCTCCTAGTGTACACAGTACCTCCTGACTCGCCCTCTCTCTATCCTTGGCCTCATATTAGATTACACTAGCAGGTGCAGGCATAAAAGAATTATTAATAAAACATTATTGAATAACATGCACAGTAATAGGCAGCGTGTAAAAGCTGTGGCTTGTATCTTAGCTGGGCTGTTATGAAAACTGTAGACCCGAAAAACAGGAAAATAACATAATTATTAATATAATTAGACAAGGCTCAATTAGCCCTCCAGGTGCTTGATTGAGTTGAGTATCATTCCATCATTTGATGTGCCAGGTGCTTTTCTTTGAATTGTTGTGACGGTACAAACAATGATTGTATCAAAATAGTCATTATAACAGACACCGGGTGGCACTAGGCAAATTGTATTATCGTTTATTTTACTTCTTTCTCTCTCTCTCTCTCTCTCTCTCTTTCTCCTCTTTTATCATTCACTCAGGAAAACTTTAACATCGTTAGTTCTTACGATCTCTTTGATGTAGATAGGATGGAGACTTATTATGAGCTGGAAGAGCGATATTGTAAAATGATTATATGTGCTGAAATCCTAGCCAGAGTAAAGAGGTATAAACTGTTGACTGTAGAATCCTGTGAACTTAAAGGTATGTGTTTAGACTTATCATAAGGAGGAAGGGAAATGCAAGCCTTCAGTTGATTATATGCACAAATTGGCTTCAGCTGATAGTTATCATTGGCTTTGTGTGGTGGGGATTTGAGCAGCAGCAGTGCAGTATGTTTGGTTGGAGCTTCATCCTGCTTTACATTTAAATGAATGCCAATGTGTTTCTTAGAAAGAATGATTTGACCCTCTAGATAATAAATAAAATCGTTCATGCATGAAAATAATGCTATGAATTTGTGTTTGCTTAAAGTAAATAAAGGTCGGGGACACATGCATCACTAGTATAACCCTTGCTACCAGTCAAAGCAATAGTGCACTTAGCTCAATAGATTGTATAGCATTCGCTTTTGAGCTGCATGTGCACTTTTCCTGGAATAGTTGGGTTATTACTGTTGAAGTGTGCCCTCTGTGTACTGTATGGATTGGACTACATTAAAATAACTGCTATCTACCCTTCCTCATAGATGACATTGTCACTCCTACTACCACTGACTTATCACTATCCTTTTCTAAACACTTCTCAACATACTATACAAACTTGTACTCTACCGCCAACTCTCTTCCTTTATCATCAATGGCATCCAGCACAGTGTCACATCCGAGGCCACCACAGAATACGAATGTGCCTACACCTAACACACAGTCACATGTACCTACATCATCCTCAGTGAATGGGCCAGTATTGCAGAGTAGCAGCTACAATGTAACAGGTTTGCTACACACCTTTCTTTTTCTCTCCCCTTTTTCTTTATCTAAGTTGTTTGTCACTCCTCTTTTCATCTTGATAGTCTAAATATATATTTTTTTCACTATCATACCTGTTATCTTGTGTAGTGACCATTGTTTCTACAAGTGTTACAGTTTTGGTGGCTTTGGTCTTCATTGTACTACTGTTAATATTTATATTTATAGTCTATCAAAAATACTGGATGTATTCGACAAAGAAGTAAGCTAATTATTATCTACAATAATAGTAATAATAATAATTATTATTTATTTCGTTTATTATAGGGAAGGAATTGAACATAGGGTAAGTTATAACATCCATGCATGTACATCATTTATAACTGACTATTTTTGCATTACAGGAAATATACAGCAGCATAATACTCATTCCAATATCTCGTGTTGTTTCAAGCGAAAGCATTAAAACTGAATTATGCAATCCTTCAGCGGATGGCAATAAAACAGTCGACCCAATGATAAAGAACCACTCTTCGCCGCCTCCTACCATCATAAAAGAAAACGAGATGGGGAAGGAATTCGATCAAGAGAGGCCTCCATCATCATCAGAAAGTGGTTATGGTGACAGCCCAGTTTGTACCAGTAGCAGTACCATCAGTGTTTCTGTAGATATAGACATATCCTTTGTCCCTGCTGACAATGGGCCCTCTCCTGTCTTCTCTCATAACACCTCATTAGACAATAATGATACTAATGCTTCACGACCAAAAAGTGAGACATACAGCGCAAGTAGTACTGAGTATGTTGATTGGAACGAAAAAGAAAAAGAAGATACTAATATTAATAACAACAACAATAACAATAACAATAATAATGACTATATTGACGAAGAGAGAGCTACCACTGCAATGTATTCTAAACGTATGTAGGTAGCTCCTCACTCATTTTTTTCAGCCACTCATATCTTAAACATGTATAATAATAACACTATTATTACAAAAATATTAATTATCAAAAATCAAATAGAGATGAGTACATTATGCACACACACTACATGTACATGTATGTCTTCACCTAATCATCATAACTGTTTTCTTAAGAGAGTAAGACTTTCCCTTCCAGCCTTCCCATATAATTCCCTCACCATCAACACTAGCATTGTACTGACCATTTAAATTTGAGTGAAGGCAGCTATCAAACCACCAGCCTCCTTTGTGGTTGAGTCCCAAATTCCCATCCACCCAGTTGTCATTGTCTCTATCCGGAGATGAAAACTTTACAGAACTTTTCCGAGTACCTTTAGTATCATGAAGTAGTGAGTCACCAGCAGTACCAGAGTACCCACTTGCATTAACCTCGTACTCTTTGGTGCTGTCACTCACAATGAATGTAGTGTATTTAGCATATGCTTTGTTTCCGTTGTGATCTTCAAGGAGTATCAGTAAAGTCGTATTTCTTCGATTCACTAGATGGTAAAGTTTTGAAAGGCCGAGCCAGAAATTACTGGTCAGTGAGCCAAAGCCTTCTTCGTATGAAGACCAGTTTCTAAAGAAACTAATTGAGTCGTTTACCCTTTGCTGGAATACAGTCCATCCACCACCATCAGTCTCCATATCACAATACACCTATAATGTATATGTATTCACATAACATCACTATCATAACTGTGTTTATGTATTCAGTTTAAGGTGCATTGATTATACTTTGTGCATACAAACACTAATGCTGCTTTTACTACATAATAAAAATTGGCAGAATTTAAATAAAATTAATCCTGCATCTTTTAGTACTTATTAATAATGTACATACTTGAAATGGTGGTTCTTCATTGCTTGGATTAATGGGATAAACCCCATTCCTCTTTACTCCTTCTTCTAGCCAACCGTTACAATCAAACGGAACCAAACAAACTACAAATTAATGTACATACACTCAAACCACATCACTGTAATCAAGAGTATCATACCTGGAATAGAATTGACATTTGTGTCTTGTATGTCTGAAAGAGATGAAACATAACTGAACTGTTTACTAGAAGATGAGTAAGGAGAGGGAGATGGAGAGGGTGACCAAGCAGGAGAAGGGGAAGGAGTGACATCAGGACAATGTCCTCTTACACACTCAAGCAGCACAAAACATAGAAAATATACCAGAAAAAAGACAGATCTACTTCTCATGATGGACAGAGCTTTGAAATTTTAGTACACTAACTAGACAAGTGACAATTATACTATAAACAGCTCACGCCTGATGGTACCTGGTTGATTTAAGGTTAAGATATTGCAGCAATGCTAGCATAGGCCACTCATAGTTTTACAATCAATAACAATTACCAAATTTTTAGAAAAGCGGATAGCAGCAAGAATAACAGCTTGGATTTAGTCTTTATCAGAGTATGTGAGTGTACATATGTGTGTGTGTGTGTGTGTGCATTTAGAAAATTAATATACACATGTACAAAAATGGTCAAAAAGTAGTAGTGTCTTAGTCATCCTCTCCTTCCTTTTGAGCTTCTGTGGTAGCAACATCAGCTTCCTCATTTATGTCTTCTTTGACAATATCTAAATCGTTCGTTGGTTCGTTACCCTCTTCCTTAGTCTCCTCTTGCTCCTCATTGTGTTTTTCGTCAGCAGTTACTTCTCCTTTTGCTTCTATTTCTTCTTTTACAATATTTAAATCGTTCGTCGCTTCATTGTCTTCTTTGTTAGCCTCCTCTTGTCCCACCCCTTTGTCCTCTTTTTGGTGTTTTTCACCAGCAGCTATTTCATCATTTGTTTCTTCTGCTGTGACTGGTGACTGTTGCTCTGTTATGTCTTCGTCATTTTTAATTTGGTTCAGCTGTTGTCCAGAGCTTTCGTTAGTATTAGCATCTGCCTCAATACTAACAACTGCTTCCACCACTTTTCTATCTGTTGTGCCTTCATTTTGGCTTTCTTGTCCTTGTGGAACTGTAAGCTCAACTGCTCCTTTTTCACCCTCTTTACTTTCATTTCCTTTCTCCTCCTCCTCCTCCTCCCTTTTCTCCTTCTCTTCTTTACTAGTAACTTTATCTGGTTCCTCTATTGGTTGATTCAAGCTTGATAAGGCTGCCCCTTTGTAGCCTGGTTTCCTATCAACCAGTCCTCTCTCAATCAAGCTATAGCAACCCTCAATGATACATTGATTGATATCACGTGCAGTTACATCAACTCCTAACTCATTCTTTGCTTTACTACAGTCGGTTCTGGTGGTTACACCGATTTGCCTGTACAACCACTTCATCTTAGCACTCACAAATTTCATTGCCCACACTATTCCTTTAGGCAATACACGAGACGCAATACTGTAGCCTTGAGGCTCAAACTCTGCTCGAATGATGTCAGCTAAGTCTCTCATCCACAATGGCTCCCCTGATACTACGTAACGCTGACCTGGTGCTCCATCTACTTCCATTGCACGAATGTGGGCAGCAGCGACATCTCTTACATCAACTGTGGGAAAAGATACTTCAGCCAATACGGGCATCTTGCCTGAGAGTAGCTGCTCCATAATTTGAGCTGATGAAGAACAAACGTTGGTTAGCAGTGGGCCCATAGTAGCACCTGGGTTGATAACAGAGAGCTCAAATTTTTTATCGTCGTCTAGCTCAGACACAAAATCAAGAGCAGCTCTCTCAGCAAGGAGCTTACTCTTTTCATAGCCATCACACATTCCTTCAACGGACCAATCAGACTCAGTGTATGTGTACGTGGGGTCGTTGAGATGATCACTAACAACAACAGCTGCTAAAGAAGAAGTGAATACGAATCTCTTTACAGTCCCTGCAGCCACTGAGGCCTTGAGGACATTAAGAGTTCCTTGGACTGCCTGACGGACTAGCGTTTCTTCCTTCTCAAACACAAGAACGGGTGAAGCAACATGATAAACGTATGTAACTCCTCTAAGAGCCTCGGTCCAACACTCTTCATCTAAGAGCTCGGCCTCAACTAGCTCAAGAGGATAGCGAGCGTCAGGGACCATTCCTAGCAACGGGACGACCTTCTCCTCTGTCTTCAGAGACCGGACGGTGCCTCTTACACGAACATTGCCAGCTTTGAGGAGTTGTTGGACTATGTGTGATGCAATGAAACCAGAAGCACCAGTGACTAGAGCAACCGGAGCAGACACGTCTTCATCTTGCATGTCTTGCTCCCCATTGGAAGCCATTTTCATAAAACCACTAAGGGCAGAGTTTAGATATTATCTTTTAGAATGTGGATTACAGTAAACAGGATCATATCTGTAGTATTCCCTGAAGATGAATGGACTGAGGCCCAGTTCTATTTCATTATCAGTAAAACAGTTCAGCAATTTAGATTACTATGATCATATTAACAACATGAAGTTTTACAGCAATAAATTTACAGTAGATTGGTGCATGTTTCTAAACATTACAAAACAATATTAATAGCAGCGACAACTGATAGAGTTTACAGTTCTAATAATGTGTGACAAATTCAATAACATCAAACAATAATTTGGTACATTCAACACAAGTAGTTATTAATAGGTATTTATTCACATGAGGCGGACAAGGTAAGCCATTAGCACCATCAACACCTGGTCCACCACCATCAACAGACTCTGGGTTTTCATCAACGCATTCAAAAACACCATTTCTCTTGTGAACACCTCTCTCAGACATCAGGTAACCTTTGTATTCTAGAGTCCACTCAGAGAGACAACTGGTAATAGAAGGAATCATCAGTTTCACTTCTTTAGCTGCATAGCAGCGGACTGGACAAGGAGGATTGTGACTATGTGTACGGCAGTGTACCTGAAAATATGCCATCATGATCATGATACTCAGTACCATGCATAAGAGATTACCATATAGCACTTTATATTGGCCGAGTTTTATTTTGGCAATTGGCGGTTTGCAAGAAGAATCACCAATATTAAAACCACCAATCATTAATGCGCATGCTCAGTAATGCATGTGAACACAAAAATGGCCAAATTAAAAACTGCCAAATACAATTTTACAGCAAAATTGCCAAAATAAAGCGCCATGAAAATAAAGCGCTATATGGTAGTATGGGGGTACATGAGAGATCAAGTACTGAGAAATTTTTGGTAAGCAGGCATAGTTGGCTCACATACAAAAAAAACTATGCATTAAAATAAGACTCTTGGTTAAAATGACACATTTTTGATACCCTAAATTATAACAAACAAAAATGTTATTTTTAGCACAAAAGTGAGTTATCTGAACACAAAGAAGTACCGTATTTTACTGTATAAACGCCTG